GGCGAACGTCTACGTACGGTACCTGGAAGCACCGAGCATCAGCGAGAAATGGAACATCACGTGGGCTGGCCAGACACTCTCCCCGGGTGGTGCCCAGTCCTCCGATGGTGTACTCCATGGATCGCAGAACACGGTCCAGATCGCGTGCGACACGGCGAACAACGTCTGCTATATACCTGTCCCAGCGCCGAGCTTTGCACTCGTGTTCCTCTCACAGCAGGCACTGACGGATAGTACTTCCCAGTCGGATGGGATTGCGGGCAGTGGGGGTGGTGCACCTGGACCGCTAAGCTTCACCCCGACTAGTACAAGGGGTGGGGGGGCGACCGGCGTAGACCCGGGGGTGTTGGCGACGAGTAATGGGGGAGTGCTCGGAGGCGGCGGTCTGGGTAGCACGAGCAAGGAGGGCGACGCTCGTCTGAACGTCCCCTTTCCCGTGTATCTGGTGGTATCTACCTCCGTACTTGGAATTGTGGGGATGATGCTGTTGTGGTGAGTTGTTGTAGACGAGGAAAGCTTCATGTGCACGTACGTCTGACTTGCAAGGACACTCCGCCGGAGACTATGATAAAAACCATTCTTATTCTGCATCTGTATTGGATACCTGGTACATCTATATACCTGGACTTTTCTCTATTTGAATTCTAGTCTTTACTTTCAGAACATGCACGTGACTCAGCCACGGACTTGACGGAAGCAGAGTCTTATGGGAAGCCGGAAGGCCTAGTTCGCTTCTCACAAGCTGGAATACATGAACCAGACTGTATGTCAAAAGGCCTATATGAAGGGAGAGACCACTGGGTGAAGGATGGACCTAGTGCGGTATGATGAGAATGGTGTAATAAACAAAAGAGAAAATGAGAAAAGAGCAGATACTTCTTTTTCCAACAGAATAGGAAGCTTTCATGACCATATAATTTTTATTATAATAAACTAATTAAAATGTACAAGAATTTTCACAAACAATTTTGGTACGGAGTTGCCTAATTAGGAGAGTGGGGGGGCAATCTGCCTCCGATGCGGCGTTGCCACCCTGTTTTCTTGTCTATATATACTCCAACACGCGGTAATTATTATTGTGCGAGAAAAGGCAGCTCGGCACCTGCCTGACGGTGAAGTGCTCCTCGACTTTCTATTCTTTTCTCCACAGCTTTTCTTTGCCGCATCTATTTTAGAACGACTATTACGCTAGAACACTGTCACTCGTTTTACACTGTCACTCCTTGAACCGTAACCGCCACGTACATAGCGAAACGGGCTCGCGTACTCGTCCTTGTACCGCTCTCTCCTCTGTTGAGCACGAACGAGAGCTCTCAATCGCACGACCACATCTGACAGTATGCTCTCACTCGCTCTGTTCCTCCTCCCCTTCCTCCGACCGGCCTGGGCAGACGTGACGATCTACACTACGTTCCCCAACCTTGCCTCCACTGCTCCTGCCCCCTTCCCTACAGGCCCGTATTCCGGCTTACCAGCATTCGACCCAACGACTATCCCCCCTCCCTCACTGCCAAACCCGCCGCAACCGACAGATGTACTGATTACGCTGTCTCAGGGGGGTATGCAGGGGTTGAGCATACCACAGATGGGGAACCTACTCGGGTTCAGCATCGAGTTGAGCGTCAGTGACACCATTAGTGCGTTTTCTATTCTCCAAACAGAGGTGCCTATGCTGAGCTATATATAGTCGGGAAGAACAGCAGCGTGCTCAACATCCCCTTCCTCAACTACCTCAATAACATCCGTCTTCGTGCGGGTGCTGGCCCGATTGTTCGCGTCGGCGGCAATTCCCAGGAGACTGAGACGCTGTTTGTCGACGGTCTTCCTGACGGGGCCGAACTAGACAAGATCAACCAAGGTGTAGGAGCGACCGGGGTGATCAACACGCCCATCATCAACTTCTCCCCTGAGCTCCTCTACTCCCTCGCAAATATCAGTGCGCTGGTCGACGCTCAGTGGTACTTTGGCCTCTCGTTCAACGACACTTCCGCAGATGGGAACGCGCTCGTGGTCGCCCAGTATGCGCAGGATATCCTGGGAAATAACCTAATCGCCCTCCAGCTGGGGAATGAGCCTGACCTATACGGTGACCACGGCAAAAGAGACCCGGACTACAGTATCTCGGACTACATGACCGATTTTGCAAAGGTCGAGGGAGACTTGATGGCCTCTTCGGGAGTACAGAGGAAGGAGACTCTTGTCGGCCCGAGCATTTGCTGCAATTGGCAGATTGATGATGTGCTCAGTGCTGGATATCTGACGCAGTTCAGTCAGGGCCTCAGTCAGGTGTCAGTGCAGCAGTACGTTCCTAGGTTTGCACTGCTGCGCTTTCTGGTGCTGACGTTCCACAGCTACCCCGCAAACAATTGCAAGCTCTCAGGTGTCATCCAACCCTCTGATATCTTCCCCTCCTACCTGAACCACACTGCCGCCCAAACGTTCGTCCAGCCCTACTTAGATGCAGTCCCCGTGGTCCTCGGCGCGGGAAAACCATTCGTAATGCTAGAGACGAACACGGCGAGCTGTGGCGGGTTTTTGGGTGTGAGCGATAGTTTTGGCGCTACTCTGTGGACCCTGGACTTGGCTTTCCAGCTGGCTTGGGCCAACTTCAGCACTGTGCTGTTGCACACCTCAGGCACGTCGGTGTATTATAATGTGAGCTCGTTGTGATACCCTACGATTCTCGCTGATGGTCACCAGCCGATCACACCTCCACCAGGCAACGAAACCAGAACGAAGCAATGGAACACGGGTTCGACGTACTACGCCATGCTGGCGGTCGCCGAAATGTTTGGCTCGTCAAACATCTCACAGATAATTGACCTCGGCACCTCGGAGACATCGATCTACGCCCCTTCGTACGCTGTGTACGAGAACGG